ATTGCTGAAGATTCTTCTATTCCTTTCAGACCAAACTGCCGACATCACTGCCGCAGGAATAGTTCTCCAAATTAAACTCCCTTTTTCTTCAAACCTTGGAGATTCCAGCAAAGCAGCAGATCTTTAACTAACTTTGGCATCACCCAATTAAGACCAGCCACTCCAATGAAATGATACCAGACTTTTGAGGAGATAGAACAATGTAAGCACAGATGGTTGGTGGACTCAGGCAACAAAACACACAACCCACACATCAGAGAAGGGAGCTGAATGCCCCTTCTGTCCAGGTTGAGTCTTGAGAGACATTTATTCAGCACCATAGTCCAAACAAGGAAAACAAACTTCGAGGGATCACAGGACTTCCATACTTTCTGGTAGGGGAATTCAGTACTACCCATACTACTAAGCTTCAAGGTCAGGGATTTGACTGAGAAGCAGCCATCCTTACTCCAGGACCAACTCCATTCATCTTCACCTACAATGCCCATCGCCTGCTCCTGTAAAATCTGTAGAAGTTGCATCACACCTTCTATTTCCCAATCAAATAAATCTCTTTGGAATTGAGGATTCCAGATCACTGAGTTGTTAGAAATCACATAGGACTCTGCCACTGAAATTTCTTGATTAACTACACATTGAAACAGAAGGGGAAACGCCTCAGCTAAAGGTCTGTCCATGCACCAAGGATCTTTCCAGAATTTCAGCCTATTTCCACTTCCCACTTTAAGACTCGCTCCCTCATATATCACAGGAAAAGATTTTAGAATCCCTTTCCAAACCGAACAACCCCACTTTAAGTCTCACTTCCCACTTTAAGTCTCACTCTCTCTAATGCACCTAGCACTTTTATGTGGGTTATGAATCAGGTACTCCAGCCCTTTATTGGTCATTTTCTTGTTGTTTACTTTGATGATATACTCGTATATAGCAAGGATAGTGAAACACATGTTGCCCACCTTCAACAAGTTATGAGGGTTCTCCGTCAAGAGAAGCTCTATGTTAACTTCAACAAGTTATGCAACACCATTCCTCCGTCTTCCAGACTTTTCATGGGTCTTTGAAGTAACTTGTGATGCCTCTCATGTTGGGATTGGAGGAACTCTTAGCCAAGAGGGTCACCCAGTGGCTTTCTTTAATGAAAAACTTAATGAGGCTAAGTAAAAATACAACACATTATGACAAGGAATTATATGCTATAATGCAAGCCTTGCGTTATTGGAGAAACTATCTTATTCCCAACGAATTTGTTCTCTTTTCTGATCATGAAGCTTTGAAGCACATCAATTATAAAAAGAGGTTGAATCAACGGCATGACAAGTGGATTACATTCCTCCAAGAATACAATTTTGTGATCAAACACAAGGCTAGGAAGGAGAATAAAGTAGCTGATGCACTTAGTGAGTGGTCTATATCCTCTCTACTATGGTTGTACAGGTGGTAGGCTTTGATTTGTTCAAAAGAAACTACCTTACATGTAGAGATTTCAGCATTATCTATGCAGATTTACAGTCAGGAAAGCAAGCAACACACCCAGAATTTTCATTACATGATGGCTTTCTCTTCAAAGGGACTCATCTGTGTCCACCCAATACCTCACTTAGGGAAGAGATAATTTTGGGAACTATATGCAGGGGGTGTAATAGGTCATTTTAGAAGGGACAAAAACCATTGCCATGGTTGAAGATTATTTCTATTGGCCAGGACTCAAAAGGGATGTAGCTTAGGTTATCAAGCAGTGTCGTATATGTCAACTAGCAAAGGGAAGGAAACATAATGCTGGTTTGTACACTCCACTCCCTGTTCCACATTCTACCTGGCAAGAACTTAGCATAGATTTTGTGCTAAGCCTCCCTAAGACTCTACGGGGCATGATTCCATCTAATGTTGTGGTTGATTGCTTCTCCAAAATGGCTCATTTCATTCCTTGTAGCAAGACATCTGATGTTGTACATATTGCACAACTATTCTTTAAGGAAGTTGTGCTTTTGCAAGGCCTACCCAATACTATTGTTTTAGATAGAGATGCTAAATTTATGAGTTACTTTTGGAGTACTCTTTGGCCTAGTTGACTTTCTTCAACTTTTTATCCTCAAATTGATGGGCAAACTGAAGTTCTGAATAGAAGCTTGGGATATTTTCTACGTTGTTTGGTGGGTGATCATGTTACACAGTGGGATTTGGTGTTGCTTATAGCTGAATTTTTCTACAATAGCTCCGTGAATAGAAGTACAGGTCACAACCCCTTTGAGATAGTGATGGGATTTCAGCCTAAGAAGCCTATAGACCTAGTTCATTTTCTATCAGAGGCAAGACTAAGTGCAGATGCAGAAAATTTTGCTAACCACGTCAAGGAGATCCATGATGAGGTTAGGAGGAAGATTGCAACCAGCAATGAAGCCCATAATTCCCATGCTGACCTATGAAGCAGGTTTACTGATTTTAATGAAGGGGACATGGTAATGGTACGAATCAGGCCTGAACGTTTCCCTAAAGGTGTTTATAAGAAGCTCCATTCAAGAAGCTCAAGTCCCTTTAAAATCAGAAGAAAATCAACTTTAATGCTTATGTACTTGGTTTGCCGGAGGATATGGGTATGAAGAATGGAGGATTTAATGTTGTATCATATCATGGTGATGCAACCAATATGGACCAACCCATAGGCCACTGACCACCCACCCCCATTTCCAAGGGAAGAGACTGAAGATGTTATTGATGATCAAATTGTTTCAACCAAGGTTCAAAGTATCGAAAACACCAAGTGTACTGTGTATTGAAAGGCAATTTTAAGATGTGTATTAGGATACAATTTGGATACATGTGTATCGGAGAAAAATTAAGATACGCATGGAAACACTATAAATACTTTAACAAATCATAAAATAACATCAATAACACTAAATATAAGGCCTCAATGAAGTGTACATACATTAAATGGATATATTTTAATGCTTTTATGAAGAAATACATCGTAGTCGATTATGATTTCATTAAAAATCACTATGCTTAACTATAATGTACAAATTGTAATTCTTAAGTTTTAAGGGATGAGAAAGCCCAACTATCCTATCCTACCATTAAGCATGCATTTGCACAACTTCTAAGTGCAAATATAATTAATAGTTATTTCTTATTTAAATAAATACTATTTATTTTTTATTTTCAAAAATTATAAAAAATTAAAAATAAATAAATGTTATATAATATATTCAAAAAATAATTATTGAAGAAGAAATTTCAATTGCTCTATGGATATGATAGATCATCCATAGATTTATAATATATTCAATCCTTGTGATAAGATCAAAAAATATAATTAATTATTATTTATTTTTTAATTCTAAAAATATAAAAAATCAAAAAAATATATATTGAAGAAATTGCAATTGCTCTATGGATATGATAGATATCCATAGATCTAAAACATACTAAGTCTTTCTAGGCAAATAATAAATACGTTTTCAAAATTTTTGTTACTTTATATTTTCCCCAAATCTCTTCATAAAATTTCCACAAGTCTACTCATAACACATGAAAAAGTGATTTTGAACATAAAAAATGTAGATCAACATAGATTTAAATATTTTCAAGCATTCAAGCAAAAAATATCACAAGATATTATGAAAATTTGAAAAAAAATACCTATTTTTGTAATATTTTTCAAAACATGAAAAAACTTCAAAGACAAGAAACAAAGTACAACAATTACAGCCTCCTAGGGAAGGGGTAAACTCTCTTAACCCTTCCCAAGGTAAGCATAATAATAGAAAAAGCAATTCAAAGACAATGATTCACATTTTTTTTTGCATATCTAGCACTTTATGAATGAGGTTTGGAGTTTTAAAGTCATTCGGGGGTGAAAGAAGGCTTATTTCAGGGAAGGAAAGCTTTTTTCACTTTTTATTTTTTCCATTTTTTTCATGTATCTTTTTTGTAGCGTATCGACCGATATGCTACCGATATGCCTAATACACCCCCTGGTACACCTCCAATACGACCCGATATAGTCCGATACGATGGAAAAAAGGCGATACAACTGATTTTCCACCATATCTTGTATCGGATTTTAAAAGATACGATACAATACGCCCCATATTGGGTGTATCGTGTTGAAAGTTGAAACCTTGGTTTCAACACGACATGGGGTATATCGCAAGTTTCTTGTCAAATGGAAAGGTCGTTCTCACTCTAAAAAAAAAGAAAAAAAGAAGAAGTGATACATATAACTAAACCTCCTTGACAAGGTCCATTGTACTTGTCATCAAGGCAAAATTGATCAAAATAAAGATTTTCCTTTCAAGTATTATTGCATTTTCTAGAGGGTGACTCCAGCTTATAACTAGAAGATCTACATGGCAGAAGAATCATATAAAATACATGATTGTACATTCCCTCCCTCCCTCTCTGTTTTACATTAAATAAAACAGTTGATCCACCCTTGTTCGTTCTCTTTTACTCTCTATCTTAATTTTATAATATAAAATTGTAACCTTATTTAGTTATTAATTTGATATGGAATTGATCTACTAAATGATTATTATATTAGTATTATTTCTGGAACTGTTGAAATGAATATATTTGAAATACTATTGTCCTTGATATGATGATTTGCCATGTCTTGGGAGTACTTAAGAAAGAGTTGTTATTTTTGAAATTAGAGAATTAGGCAAAATCTACTTTTCATTTTATGAAATTCTCATTGCCTAGGTGCCCCACTGTCACACAGAATCACTTAGATGCCCTGACAATTTGGCAGTGACTAGAGGTCTAAATTCCTCTTGTCCTCTCCCACAATTTACTCTTAAAATCACTTTGTGATTGTATATTTAGCAAAATTGTTTAAAAGAAAATTGTAAGGTGACTGCCTAATCAACAAAAGCCACTTTTGCTAAAGGTACAATCTGATCCATGGACTTTTCATCAATGATATGGAACTTTTAACCAGTGGACCAGAGAATTTTGCTGAAGGTATGAGACAGAACACCTAGTAGTCTAGTACCTACCTGCTTGTTTTGACAGCTGATCCTGTGTCATTCAACTTCCTTTCTGCTGCAGTTAATGCAGCCATTGTTTTATCCGATACATGCAACCTTTGATCCACTGACTTCACTTTCTCATTAACCACAGAAATTCCAACAGTTACTTTCTCTGTAAGCCCAACTCTCCTGTCAAAGGATATGACCTTGGCAGATGCACTGGCTGTCAATTGGTGCTTTTCATCAAATGCTTTAGCTTTATTCATGGCATCTTGTCCAATAGCTGAGCCTTTAGCCAGCATGCTTGCAACAACATCCTGAGCTTTACTGGCATATATCCGTCCATTTCTAGAACTGCTTTTAGTCTGTAACAAAGATAGAAATACACATTCACAAGATTAACAGCAAAAACAAAATAAAAGCAGCAAGAAAATCGAGGTGCCTACAAAGTAAACCATTATGGGATGAAAGCCTGAAACACACAGAATTGCATCAACCATGACAGACTTGCAGACTTAGAAAATAGAAATATTGTTTCCATAGGCACGATCATAATCAGTGTACCAAAGGCATGATCATGATGACAATTATTCATTTCTAAATCCCACTTCAGCCATATGATGACCAGATGTATACAGGCATAGATATTTTTGATGAGTGACATAGACAGATTAGTAAACAAGAATTCAAATCTCCAATTCCTAAATCCTGGATATGATGTTTTAATGTGATTTGGGTGAAGAGGACTGCTAATTCCTTTGCTGATGGGCTAGCAAAGCAAGGGATGAATAGGGATTCGATTTTTTGGGCTAATTTTTTATTTTCTCCTTGTACTCTTTGATGGGGAGTTAAGTCTTTTTACCTCCCCTTTGTGCCTAAGCTTCACATAGTTTCATATCTTTAATAAAGTTTCTTGTTATTGATCAAAAAAAATGTTTTAATGTGATTTATCAAAACATATCATTCTACATATTTCAAGAGTTCATGCTCATGTTGGGCATCTATCATGTCTGGTATAGGTATCTGCATATCACAGCTTTACCCAAAGGCATGATCATGATGATTCAAGATCACTTCCCTAAAGGTATAGGAATATTTTACCACAAGGAAAAATGTGATATCAGAAAACTAGCATTAACCATATTTATCAAAAAAAAAAAAAAAAAACTAGCATTAACCATAGTTGTCAAGGCGTCGCCTAGGCGACAAAAATGACAAGGCGGGCACCTTTTATAATATCATTTATATTGTTGTGTCTTATTAATGTATGTGTTAATACATTTTATTATATGCTATATATATATATATATATATAT